CGTGACAGCGGAAATGGTATGTAGATCCAGGCATCACCAGCCACTGTTTTCCTGAAGGAACCACAGTGCCAGAAACTCACAGCTCATCTCTTCATCTTGGTTTTGCCACAGAAAGAGCAAATGTACTTGGTGTGCTGGCTGATTTCAATTTTCTTCACCATCTTTCAGAGGAAGGCCCCATAGCAGGTACCATATTTACCGATGATTCTGACTTTCTTGGTGCGTTTGGCCATGTCACTGCGAACTAGGTCCCAGCCCAGAGAGCTATGTTTTCTGTTTTTGTTTTTGTTTTAAGTAGAGAGGAGGTATCGCTGTTGCCCAGCTGGTCTTGAATTCCTGAGCCCAAGCAATCCTCCTGCCTCAGCTTCCCAAAGTGCTGGGATTACAGGCGTGAGCCACCATGCCCAGCCTTATTTCTAATGTTTAAAGCATTAAGAAGAAACAGTTTGTCACAACATAATAGAACTGTCTAACAGCCAGAACTGCCCAAAGATGGACTACTCCCCGTGGAGGTATGAATATGCCAACTCTGAGGTGTCCAAGAATAGCAGGGATGCTATTCAGCCTTCTTAAACCTTAGGAAGGTAACCAAACTAGTGTTAGTCTTTTCTAACCCTGCATTTCTAAATTCTGAAAGTTGAATTGCAAACTGCTTGGAGGAGAGCTCCATGTCATACCTTATATGCTGGGGCTGCTGTGAAAGGCACCTTTCAGAGCTCTGATTGCGGGGAGACTAACTGACTAACAGTCCTAAGGTAAATCCTTCACCCTGTTTGTCCCAAGACACACTTCCTATGGGCTGGGTCTCAGCCAATGACTGAGCATGGCTGAGATACTAAGGCAGGCCTGTTCCTGGGAGATGTGGACTCTGACAGATACTTTTTGTGGCCTTGCTGAAATGTTATAGAACTGCACTGCAATCTAAGACTCTTCCTTCCTTCACCTCCTCACCTGGTGCCAGACCTACATCTCAGTCTGATGGTTCTTGAGACGCCCTTAGCTCCTTCTCCATTTTCCCTCACAATCATTTCCCCTAATACATCTCTTGCATGAGCAATCCCATATTGATGTCTGCTTCTCAAAGGACCCACACATGCATTATCTTGTGGTGAAAAGTCATACATTTTGGTTGAGGGTTAATGCCTATGTCAGAATGAGGAACTTTTTAAACACTGGGAAGTCAGGGACCCACAGAGACCTACTGTAATAGAATCAATGGAGATGGACTCTCGGAATTTCTGTATTGCAAATCTTCCCGATGTGATTTACATGCAGGCAGCCCTGCATCAGGCAAAACTCTTCAGTCCCTAGCAGAGTAAATACTGAAAAGTGGGTGTATGGTAAATAGACCTTGAAAGACAAAATCCAGCCAGGCACAGTGGCTCACACTTGTAATCCTAGCACTTTGGGAGGCCAAGGCTAGGGAATCACCTGAGGTCAGGAGTTCAAGACTAGCCTGGCCAACATAGTGAAACCCCATCTCTACTAAAAATACAAAAATTAGACTGGTATGGTGGTGCACACTTGTAATTCAAGCTACTCGGGAGGCTGAGACAGGAGAATTGCTTGAACCCGGAAGGCAGAGGTTGCAGTAAGCTGAGATCATGTTACTGTACTCCAGCCTGGGCAACAAAGTGAGACTCCATCTCAGAAAAGAAAAAAAAAAAAATCAAAAAAATGTTGAAAAGCTTGATAAGTTTGTGTTATTTTAGAATAAAGAAGGCGAATTGGCAGAGTTACTGTTTTTCTCTATTACCTCAACATCCTTCATTTTCTCTTTCATATCGAACATTTTCTAAATTTTATCTTGTTCTACAGATGGCGAAGTATGTGTTTTAACATTAGCCTGAGGCAGAGAGAGAGATTAGCAGAAAGTACCAGATTTTGCCAACCAGGCCTAGAAAACAGCATCTTCAGCATCATCCTGACATCCAGCACCGCTGACTCAGTCTTGAAGCTTTCTTTGCTTTGCCCCTTTCCAAAGTAATCTTGGAAATTACAAATGGCTGGCAGTTTGCTCGTGTGTTTAAAAGCACTGCCTCAGGGATTTTTATTTTGAAAATTAAAAGACATTTTCAAAAATTTTGGATAGTTAACATTTTCATTCTGACTTCCTTTTCTTATTTGAAGACAGCCATGGTAGCTGTCACTAGACAAAAATAACTTAACAGCTTGGGAATTACCAAGGAGGTATTTAAGAGTGTCTTTTGGCCGGGCGCGGTGGCTCAAGCCTGTAATCCCAGCACTTTGGGAGGCCGAGGCGGGTGGATCACGAGGTCAAGAGATCGAGACCATCCTGGTCAACATGGTGAAACCCCGTCTCTACTAAACATACAAAAAAAAATTAGCTGGGCATGGTGGCGCATGCCTGTAGTTCCAGCTACTCGGGAGGCTGAGGCAGGAGAATTGCCTGAACCCAGGAGGCGGAGGTTGCGGTGAGCCGAGACAACACCATTGCACTCCAGTCTGGGTAACAAGAGCGAAACTCTGTCTCAAAAAAAAAAAAAAAAAGTGTCTTTTTGTTTATTTATTTATTTATTTTTGAGACAGTATTCGATGGCCAGGTTAGGAAAAAGACAATCTACAGAACATGGAGTCTTCCCTCCACATCCTGCCCAACGTCTCTCCTTGGGTCTAACATTTAATTTCCTCTTTCTTTTCTAGATTTCTTTCAAAATATGTTCATGTAGACGAAGAAGAGCTTTTCTGAACATTTCAGCACCACCGCCACCGCCCCACTCCACCCCAAGTGCTGCTTTTCTGAATACGCATCATCATAGTATGTGCAGATTTTGCCTGCAATTCCTTGAAATAATTGTGTCATGCTAAGATCTTTCTAAAATGTTCCAAGTTCTATTTGTAATTCTGAGGGAGTGAAAAGTAATCAATTCCATGGCTGAACTTGGTGTTGGTATTTTGGTCTTAACAAATTATCAGCTTGATCAGGTGGTAGTCTTCCTGCTTTTCTATTCTGGTTTTTCTACCTTTATTTTTCTATCTCTGATAACATCTGGTTTCTTGGACAATGATTTAATTTTTGCCTACTTCTATTTCTCCCAGTAGTTTATGCACTCAGACTTTGGAACCCACACGTGGTTCTGTAATCCAGAAGTTGTTCCCTTGAGTCTCATTTTCCTCTTGTGTTAGAATTGAAAGGGAAAGATCAGGAGAAGAAAATCAGATTTAGAAAAGATTAGGCATGAATAGGGAAATATTTCTGATATTTATCCAAACGTTTTGAAATTTTGGGTTAATATGAGTCTTCAGAAGTATTGCAAGGCTATCTGGCTCTGTACTATCCAACCAGCTTGAGAGAGTAAGATGCTTTTTGGTGATGTTTTGAAAAAGCCTGGCTTTAAGAATGGCCTTCAGCCAGTCTTGCCAGAAGCCTCACTACCAGCCCTCACATCCTAAAGGTCCCATCAGTTCTGCACAAATGGCATGTGCTGCTCCCAGCCATCCTTTACCCTTGCTTGAGCCCTAGGTACAGTAAAGAGGACCCAGAAGCCTACATTTAGTCACTTGTGTAACTTAAAACTATGTTTAAAGTTTGTCAATGTTGTTATTTTTTGTTCAAAAAATTATTGTTTTCAATTTGCCCTTAAAAATTAGATGCTGACTCCTGTGCACAGTAGGACCACTCTAGGGATGTTGATAGGTGTGTAAAGGTACCTTATTTGAGACCATGATAGAATAACTGCAAGGCTCTGGAGCCTAATATGAAAGCTTCTCCATCCCAAAGCTCCCCATGCAAATACAGAGGCATCAGAGCCTAGAAACTATCCACTACCGTGAAGATTCATTCATTAGAGTAGGTGCCTATCAGGTATCTGATCAGTAGGGATTAGACTTGATATCTTTTTCTTTATTCCCTAACCCTATCATGTCTTGAAATGTTCACGTATGTATATTTATGTACACAAACCTTTATGTATTGTATGTATATACATATATATAGTTTTTGTTTTATTTTTTGAGACAGAATCTTACTCTATTACCCAGCTAAAGTGCAGTGGTGTGATCTCAGCTCACTGCAACCTCCGCCTCCTGGGTCTAAGTGATTCTCCTGCCTCAGCCTCCCCAGTAGCTGGGATTACAGGTACCTGCCAATGTTATATTTTTAGTAGAGATGGGGTTTCACCATGTTGAACAGGCTGGACTCGAATTTGTGACCTCAAGCGATCCACCAGCCTGGGCCTCCCAAGGTGCTGAGATTACAGGCATGAGCTACCGCTCCCAGTCTATTTAATTATTTAATATCTAATAATTAAAAAAATATTTTTAATGTATAGCCAGCTTCTCACTTCCGGTAGCTTTTTGGCACCTATGCTTTTATTTAAGCTCGATAACTTTTCTCACAGTTTATTTGATTATTCAGGTCAAAAATATTTAGGGTGCCTTTTGCACAAAGGGTAAGATAAACTCTAAGTGGCCAGGACTCCCTCTGCATCCTTCATTCTAGAAAGCAGGGCATTTTTAAGCTTGCGCTCTTCTTGGCTCATTCTGCAATGTAATCTTCAGCATGAGCTCACCATGGAGACCAGAATTTTGAAAGCCCTTGATCTTAACCTGCAAGAAAAGATGGTTACTTTTGAGGTGTGTCCCTCTGAATTTTACATAATCATGTAAATGGTTTTCAAAACAATTACTAGGCTAGGCATGGTGGTTCATACCTATAATCCTAGCATTTTGGGAGGCTGAGGTGGGAGAGTCCCTGAGGCCAGGAATTTGAGACTAGTCTGGGCAATATAGCAAGACTCATCTCTACAAATAAAATAAAATAAAATAAAATAATTATCTGGCATGGTGGTGTGAGCCTACAGTCCTGGCTTCTCTGGATGCTGAGGAGAATGGATCCCTTGAGCCCAGGAGTTTGAGGCTGCAATGAGCTAAGATCACTGCATGCAACTGGGTGACACAGGAAGAGCCTGTCTTTAAAAACAAGCAGCAAACAAGAACAAACAGAAATAATGAGTATATTTCAATAAAGGATTAACATCCTATAAAACAGGGCTAGCCAGCAGAAAACGGCTAGGAGCAACATGGACAACATGTTTGAGAACTACATCAACAACCTGAGGCGGCAGCTGGAGACTCTGGGCCAGGAGAAGCTGAAGCTGGAGGCGGAGCTTGGCAACATGCAGGGGCTGGTGGAGGACTTCAAGAACAAGTATGAGGAAGAGATCAATAAGCGTACAGAGATGGAGAATGAATTTGTCCTCATCAAGAAGGTTGTGGATGAAGCTTACATGAACAAGGTAGAGCTGGAGTCTCGCCTGGAAGGACTGACTGACGAGATCAACTTCCTCAGGCAGCTGTATGAAGAGGAGATCCGGGAGCTGCAGTCCCAGATCTCCGACACGTCTGTGGTGCTGTCCATGGACAACAGCCGCTCTCTGGACATGGATGGCATCATTGCCGAGGTCAAGGCGCAGTACGAGGAGATCGCCAACCGCAGCCGGGCTGAGGCAGAGAGCATATACCAGATCAAGTATGAGGAGTTGCAGATGCTGGCTGGGAAGCACAGGGATGACCTGCGGCATACGAAGACTGAGATCTCCGAGATGAACCGGAACATCAGCCGGCTCCAGGCTGAGATCGAGGGCCTCAAAGGCCAGAGGGCTTCCCTGGACGCCGCAATTGTAGATGCTCAGCAGCGTGGGGATCAGGCACTCAACGATGCTCATGACAAGCAGAAGGAGCTGGAGGCCGCCCTGCAGCGGGCCAAGCAGGACATGGCAAAGCAGCTGCGTGAGTACCAGGAGCTGATGAATGTCAAACTGGCCCTGGACATCGAGATCGCCACCTACCGCAAGCTACTGGAGGGCGAGGAGAGCCGGCTGGAGTCCGGGATGCAGAACATGAGTTTCCACACGAAGACCACCAGCGGCTATGCAGGTGGTCTGAGCTCTGCCTATGGGGGCCTCACAAGCCCCGGCCTCAGCTACGGCCTGGGCTCCAGCTTCGGCTCTGTCATGGGCTCCAGCTCCATCAGCCGCACCAGCTCCACCAAGGCTGTGGTTGTGAAGAAGATTGAGACCCGCGATGGGAGGCTGGTGTCCGAGTCCTCTGATGTCCTGCCCAAGTGAACAGCTGCAACAGCCCCTCCCAGCCTGCCCCTCCTGAGGCTGCCCCAGAGCTCAGGGAACAGGAGACCCACCTGATGCTCAGCCCTAGCCCTCAGCCCACTGGTGGGGAGTTTACTGCCTGGGGACCCCCCTTACTCATGCCTCCAGCTGCAAAACAATTCAATTGCTTTTTTTTTTTTTTTGGTCCAAAATAAAATCTCAGCTAGCTCAGAAAAAAAAAAAAAAAAAAAAAAAAAACAGGGCTAGCAAACTATGGCCCATGGGCCAAAACTAGTCCAACTGTGTGTGTGTGTGTGTGTGTGTGTGTGTGTGTGTAAGAGACGGGGTCTTGCTGTGTTGCCCAGGCTGGAGTCCAGTGGCCATTCACAGGTACGATCCCACTACTGATCAGCACGGGAGTTTTGACCTGTTCCCTTTCCAAGCTGGGCTGGTTCATCCATCCTTAGGCAACCTGGTGGTCCCCGCTCCCAGGAGGTCACCAGATTGATGCCGAGCTTAGTGCAGACACCCAATTGGCATAGCGCACTACAGCCCAGAACTCCTGGATTCAGGCAATCCTCCTACCTCAGCCTCCCGAGTAGCTGGGATTACAGGCACGCACCACCGTGCCTGGACAACATCTGCTTTTGTCAAAAGTCTTATTGGAATACAATGACATCTATTTTGTATTATGGTTGCTTTTGTGCTGCATGGCAGAGTTGAATAGTTGTGGCAGAGACCATATTGCCCACAAAGTCCAAAATATTTACTACTTGGCCCTTAACAGGAAACCTTTGCTGATCCCTACTATAAAACAATAAAAGCAAATAGGAACAACCCAATGGAAAACAAACAGGCAAAGGAAGTGAATGGGCAATGCATAGAACAGCATACAAGAATGTCCAATAAATACAAAAATATGTAGTTGGGATCAGGGAAATTCAAACGTAGACCACACAGATTTCATTTCCTATGCATTAGATGCGTAAACATTGAAGCCTTGCAATATCAGGGATTGGTAAGATGGTGAGGAATGGGGGTTCTTATTCTCTTCTGAGGGAAGCACAACTAAGTTCAGTCACTTTTGAGAGCAATTTAGCAACATCTAATAATGGTAAATGCACATAATCTACAACCTAACTCCGCCTTTTTTCTTTTCTTTTTTTTTTGATACAGAGGCTTGCTCATGTTCTAGGCTGGAGGGCAATGGTTCCATCATGCACTCCCAAGCTAGAGTGCAGTGGTACAACCTTGACCTCCTAGGCTCAAGCAATCCTCCCACCTCAGTCTCCTAAGTAGCTGGGACTATAAGTGTGTTCCACCAAGTTAGCCAACTTTTTAAATTTTTTGAGACAGGGTCTTGCTATGTTGCCCAGGCCGGTCTCAAACTCCTGGGCTCAAATGGTCCTCCCACCTTGGCCTTCCAAAGTATTGGGAATACATGCATGAACCACCATGCCCAGTAGCAATTTCACTTCTACACACACACACACACACACACACACACGCACATACACACATATACACGAGTATTTAAAGAAAATATACACATTTTAGAGAAACTCTTGCATGTATGAACAAGCAAATATATAAAAATATTCATAGTTGAATTGTTATTAGAAAAAATAAAAATAAGCGGTATTAACCAAGAAATGGATAAATAAATACTGAGTATGATGATGAACTGTATGTGTCAACTTGACTGGGCAAAGGATGGCCAGATAGCTGGTAAAACATTACATCCTGGGTGTATCTGTGAGGGTATTTCTGGAAGAGATTCAGTAGACTGAGTAAGAAGAGACCCTTGTGCAACCCATTGAGTGCCTGAATAGAACAAAAAGACAGTGGAAGGCTGGGCACAGTGGCTCACACCTGTATTCCCAGCAGTTTGGGAGGCTGAAGTGGGTGGATCACTTGAGGCCACCAGTTCAAGACCAGCCTCGCCAACATGGAGAAACCCCTTGTCTACTAAAAATACAAAAATTAGCTGGGTGTGGTGGTGCATGCCTGTAGCTCCAGCTACTTGTGAGGCTGAGGCAGGAGAATCACTTGAATCCAGAAGGCAGAGGCTGCAGTGAGCTGAGATCACACCACCTCACTCCATCCTGGACCACAGAGAGAGGCTCCATCTCAAAAAAAGAAGAAAAAAAAAAAAAACGAAAAAGACAGTGGAAAGGTGAAAAGGTGAATTTTCCTTTCTGCTTGAGCTGTGACATGTCTTCTCATCCCTTCAGACTTCACTGCTCCTGGTTCTCAGGCCTTTAGACTTGGACTGAAATACCATTGACTCATTTCGGTCTCAGGCCTTTGAGTTTGGACTAGAATAAATTCACCAGCGTTTTTGGGCCTTCAGCATGGAAGATTGTCACTTAGTCTCCATAACTGTGTGAGTCAATGCCTCACAATAAATCTCTTTCTGTATGTCTATAAATATCCTATTGGTTGTGTTCTGTGGAGAATCCTAACATGCTGGGCATATTCGTTAAGTGGAATATTATATAGTAATGAAAATGAAGTTAAAATAGCCACATAGTTCATGAACATCAATTATGCTCATAGGTTGAGTAAAAAAGTTACAGAGCAGTATACAATTATATTGATTTATATATGCAAAACAATACTGTTTATTGTTTAGGGATATGTGCATATGAAAAGCATGAAAATATGCATGGAAATTAATTACAAAGTTTAGAAAAGGGCTTACATCTCAGGGAGAGGAAGAAGAAAAGGAATATGATTGGGGAATGGTACAAAGGGAGCTTCAACTACATTTGTAACATTATTTCTTAAGCTGATTGCTGTTGAGTCTTTTTCTAAGTCAAAACATTTCATACAAAGTGAAATTCTACACGTTTGAGGACTTTGATCCAGTCAATCATTAGAGCACTTCCGGAGAGCCCCCACTGTCTCTGAGCTGTTGTTGCCATAGCAGAGCACCTTGAACCTTGTGCCCAACACGTAGGACCTCTGCATCTACTTGTTCACGTTCTATGTTTACAAGAGTTCTTGGGTTAGGGTGTGATAGAACCGAAGTCCAGCTTTTCCACCGGACAACAAGCCCTGTGTCCTCTGAACAAAGACACCAAGGCAAGCATCACCACAACAGGGTACTTTCTTCATGGCCCAAAAGCACCATGCCATGTATGCAGAGGGGCTGCAGCCAGTTCCACTTTTTGTCTCATCTGTGGATGCTGCAAATCTACTTATCCACAACCATGGAAAACTTGAAGAGGAACCAGTCTGTAGACAGAGACTCTATTAAGTTTATTTTTTGCTTGCCATCAATTTTTATTTGGTTTAGCCCAATATTTTTCCAGCCCTTATGGTTTATTTAAGAGCTGATCATTTTTCTCTAGTTATCTGAGCAAGTATCTTAATCATTGCTTTTTCATTTTTTGTCTTTATACTCTCTTGAGACATCTTATCCAAGAGATGGAGACGAACTGGCCCATCGATCTTTAATGCAAAGCACACATAATGTAGCCAATAAGAAATACAAACACTTTAATATATCTTATCTTTTCTCTTTCCTGCCCAGGTCTTTTGTTCGTGATCTTTTATTTCTTGGCTAAGCTGCAAATTTGAATCTTCCTTTCTTGCATTTGTCATCTAATACACAATAGCAATTTATTCTTTAGCAAAATCTGCATCTCTCCTTTCTCCAAAATCTGAATCTCTCCTTTCATTTAAGTTTCCAACCATAACATTTTATTCTTTGAAAACAAAGAATAAAGTTCTCCAAGTGTGGTTCACGAATCACCTGGCTCACTTTTACTTGCTGTGCAACAAAATGTTGGTTGGATCCCTTAGGCCTACTAAATCATTCTGCTTTTTTTTTTTAGACGGAGTTTTGTTCTTGTTACCCAGGCTGGGGTGCAATGGTGCGATCTCGGCTCACCGCAACCTCCGCCTCCTGGGTTCAAGCAATTCTCCTGCCTCAGCCTCCCGAGTAGCTGGGACTACAGGCATGCCCCACCATGCTCAGCTAATTTTTTGTATATTTAGGAGAGACGGGGTTTCACCATGTTGACCAGGATGGTCTCGATCTCTTCACCTTGTGATCCACCTGCCTTGGCCTTCCAAAGTGCTGGGATTATAGGCGTGAGCCACCGCGCCAGGCCCATTCTGCATTTTTAATCAAGATTTGCATGTAAGCCAGGCTCTGTGGCTCACAACTGTAATCCCAGCACTTCGGGAGGCCGAGACAGGTGGATCACTTGAGGTGAGGAGTTCGAGACCATCCTGGCCGACACGAGAAACCCCATCTCTACTAAAAAAAAAAACGTAGCCAAATGTGGTAGCAGGCACCTATAATCCCAGCTATTAGGGAGGCTGAGGCAGGACAATCACTTGAACCTGGAAGGTGGAGGTTGCAGTGAACCAAGATTGTGCCAGTGGACACAATGAGTGAGACTCCGTCTCAAAAAAAAAAAAAAAAAAACTTAAAGAATTTAATTTACAATTACAGAAACTAACTTTACAATTTCTTCCTTACATTTACAATTTCCTTCCTTCCATTTGTTCATGTAAATTGCTAGAAAATAATGGAAATGATTTAGACCATGAAAGCCAATTTAGGGAAGGCTACAGGAGCACCAGAGTAGGAGCCAGGAGCCCAGGAGCTGTTCCGTGATGATGTTGGGCAGAACACACTCTCTTGAGAGCCTCGGATTTCTTATCTATAAAACCAGAGTTGTCCATGGGTCTTTAAGTTGTCTTTCAGCCCTACAGCGAGAGGAGATATGTCATTCCTAAAACTTGAAGTGAAGGCGTATCTGTATTTATTGGCTCTCTAGCTTGTAGACAGATTTACTGTATGTGACTCGTGTGCCCAACCTGACATTATCTTTTAGATAGATTCCCAAATACAAGGGCAATAGAATTTTTTCATTTTTACCTTACAGGTCTGCAGCTACCTGTTTTCATTGTCCTAAGTTTTATTTACACACGATGACTAATCAACTTTATATGATAATTATTTTTAAACCCTGCTTGTTTTAATGGATGCATTAAAAATGTCTCCATTATAGAGTAAAACAACCCAAAGCCATAGCAGAGAGCAAGAAAGGAAGCAGTAGTTGGTACAGATAATGATTCAGTGGGGTCCATTAGGCCACAGAGACTCAAAGTCCAGAGGAGGAGGGAATGCTGATAATTACCTAACACCAATGTTGCTGCTGGCTTCTCAGCCTCAGTCCCCTCCCACTCATATGTTTTGAAATTGTCTGGTGTTCAGAAACATCGCTTTCTCTGACCTTTACAATATTCCTGTGTTTCTGGATTTTAAAGTGTGTGAGAAAGTAGTCTGATTTGCAGTCACCAAAAACACCAAATACAGAGAGAGGATTGGGGAGGTTGAATGGCTAAGACTTAGCTACCAAATGTGTATCAAGATAGGTGTAATGATCCCAGGTGAAGTGAGGCACTGAGGAGGGTATGCTTTTAACTTAGTGTATAGCTAAAACCCAAAGATGTGTAGCATATCCAGGGAAACTTTTTCCTCCTCTTCAAAAATCTTTTTTCCGTTTGCATAGCTCCAGACGTTCTCGCCCTTTGGAACAGGGGAGAGTCATTTGAAACTTAACCAGGTCATCCAATTTAGGATATCCAGTTTCTGTGGAGGGAAGAAAAAGACGGGTCGGGGAGGGAAAAACTAGACTCCTTGTCTTCCTATCCTTCTACCTTCAATCCACAACCTGCCACACAAATCCAGCCAAGTCAGGGATTTTGCCTTGAACCACCCACCACACCACCACCACCACCACCACCACCACCACCACCACCACCACCACCACCACCACCACCACCTTGTCACTCACGCCCGAGAAACACGCCCCTCTGGGCCCACTCTTGGCCAATGGCGGCTCTCCTCTCTGTATAGTAATGAGCTCGAGACCTTCCCGGGCCAATGGCGCTCCGGGAGAAGGGGTAGTTTTGCATGTACCTAAGTGATTTGCATAAGCCAGCGGCCGGGGGCTTGGGAACCAGAGCGTGCAACCCTAGAAGGGAAAAGGACGGGAAGAGAGCCGCGGCGGGGAGAGAGGGAGCCAGAGTCTGGGTGTTTGCGCGAGAGCCACGGCGGGGGCTGGGGCGAGTGGCCGGCATGGCTGAAGGCTGCGCTCCGCAACCTTGAAGAACCGCTGCATTGGGAGGCCGGGGGCAGGGAGGCGGGTGCGATGGCAGAGCGGGGCCCCAGCCGCTGCGTCTGGCCTGCCCGGCTGGCCTGAGCCGCCGGAGGAGCGGGGCTTCCTCTGCGCGTCCATGGAGCAGCGGGAAGGGCGAAACTCCGGAGCGCAGCGTCCCTGCACCGCGGCGGCGGACTGCTGAAGGGGCCGAGCCCGCGCGGACCGCCGAGGGAGAGACCCCCGCCCCAGCCCGCAGGCCGGCTGCTTGGGGGCGGCGGGGGGCGTCGGAAGGCGTCGGAAGGCAGCGGAGCGAGCGGCGCCGCGGGAGAAGCCGGCGCGGGAGGCGCCGCCGCAATGCCGGGCCCGCTGGGGCTGCTCTGCTTCCTCGCCCTGGGGCTGCTCGGCTCGGCCGGGCCCAGCGGCGCGGCGCCGCCTCTCTGCGCGGCGCCCTGCAGCTGCGACGGCGACCGTCGGGTGGACTGCTCCGGGAAGGGGCTGACGGCCGTGCCCGAGGGGCTCAGCGCCTTCACCCAAGCGCTGTGAGTGCGGGCGGCGGGGACGCGGGGGGAGGGGGCGCCGCGGGGGGCGCCACGGGGCGGAGCCAGGGGTCAGTCCCACCCCGCCCCGCCGCCGCCCGGGCTGGTGAAGGGGTCCGCGGTCACCTGCGGGCTGGCTGCCTGGCACACACTCCTGCGCCACAGGCTTTCCGCACTTTGGCAGTCCGGGTCCGAGCCACCAGTAGCTTTCGTTCCCAGACTTTTTGAGCACACGCACCCCCCACCTCACCGCGCACACCCCTAAGTGCATCTGGGACCAAAGGGGAAAAAGGAATTGAAAAACGCTTGCCCCTGGCATCCTGTCCACGCGACCTTCCCTTCTCCTGCGGGCCCTCACTCAGCTGGCAGGAGTTCCGCCACTGGCAGGGCTGAGGGCCCCGAGAACTTGGCCTCAGTCAGCAGACCGAGGCACGTCTCGGGGGGAAACACCTGGAACCTCCTGGGTTCCAGCATGTGGGGAGAAGAAACACCTGTACCTCAGTCAGGGCGAATCTCCTTCCAATTTGGCCCCATCCAGGTAGTGCGTCCTGGCACCTACCTCGGCCCAGTGCCACTCGGGACTACCCCACTAATGCCCAGGCTTCTGCAGCACGCAGGGGAGGCTGAGAAAACAAGGGAGAATTACAGTCTGCTTCTCTTGGTGGACATGCTCTTACCCAACAAGGCCTTTTAAAGAAGGAATGGTGACCTGAGGTGCAGGCTGTTGGAAGGGAAGCCCGTTCAGGAGCATATGCTCAGCCCAGGCTGCAAGGGAGCTGCACGTTACGAATGCACCTTAACCTAGCCAGCAGACCTTTGCTTTTGAGCTGCCTGAGATCGAAACACACACTCAAATGTTTCAGACTTCCAAAATCTCCCTCATCAAACAGGGACTCGAGAACTTTAAACGTTTTCTTGAGAAAAGAAGAGGGATCTGGAACTAGGTGTTGGAGATGACGGCAAAGGCCACAGATAGAGGAGGAACAGGGTGACTGAGGGCAGGGCTTGTGTGCTCTTATTCCTTCCTGTGTTGCGTGGCCAGCTGAATGCTTAAATCAGGAGCAGTCAAAGAAACATGTGAGAGGAAGGGATCCTGAAGGACCCTGGGGTAGAGGGAATTTCCTTTTATCTATAGTGGAAGGGACCTCTTAGAAATAGACAGTTTTAAAGGACCCTGTGAAGAAATTTTTTTTCTGCAGGCAGAAGCATTGCTGTATATGCAGTTGGGTGGTGGCAAAGGTATTCTGCTTGTCCTCTCAGGATGGACTTTGAGTGAGTGTCGAGGCCTGTTGTCTTGGAACCCATTTCATTCTTCCACCTTCCCTCCCATTTGTTATTTTCCCTGTCTCAGGTTAGTTTTAGTTCTGTATTTTAGGTGTTTAAAAACAAAATTTTCAGTATAGTAAAGTTTAACTTCTTATTTTAAAAAAAGTTACCTTTGCAGTGAAGAGCATTTTGTTCACAAAGTTACTTAAGTGGGAAAGTTTGAGCAGGAATGGATTGAATCGAGAGACAGAAGACCATGGAGAGGAAATGAGGCTAATTTTTCACCAAGTTCTCTAGAAACGTTTAGGGAATTCATGCAGAAAGAAAGGTCCCTTTACCTGCATGCACCTCTTGCAAAGCTCTCCATAGAATAGAAAAGCATGATTTTACTATTTTGACTAGTTGTAAAGACCTTGTTTAGCAGATTCCTCACGATTTTAGTGAGTAGACTTGTCCTATAAGGAAAAGGGCTGTTTCACATTAGTACCTAAAACCACGAAGAAATAATCACATTTTTATCAGAGCATACTCCTCTCTCCAGAGCATCTTCTGGTAGAACTCATGGAAGGTAGTGAAATGCTGTATCTTCAACTTTGGCCCTTGGAATAAGTTAGTGTTCACGGCTTAGGAAACAGAAAAATAATTGGCACCAGTCTAAATTAGAGTGCCTCAATTAACATTATCTTAGCACTTTCTGAGCTTTGGTGGTTTGCAAATGTGTTTTATTTTCTTAGATTTGTGACCTAGAGGTAGAGTGATCATACATTATCTGGTAACTCCTTATTTCTCCCTAGTACTCATTTCACCCTCAAAAGTATATATAACCACCCTCTCTAAAAGGGTTTTCAAGGGCAACGTATTTGTATTTTACTCCTGGGGAAACTAGCTCATCCAGTGATTCTCAAAAGCCACGTATGAAGTGAAGCCAGTACTGCAGGTCTACACACTCCAGTCGATCATATATGGGACATGTTGTGAACCCTAGGGTCTTTTTCCAAGTACTTCCAGTCTGCTTTCCCATTGCAGCTTTACTGAGCTACAGTTACATATCAAGAGACTAGTTCCGTGGTGGTCTCTAACTAACTCCTCGTTCACCTATTCTTAATTGCTGGAGCATGTGAACCAAAAACCTAGGTAGTTAAAAAAGAAAATTACAATCATGAAAGTAAAAGTTAAAAAGGTGAGACTATAATTACTAATCAGAGTTCTTCATTTTCTTCTCATTGCTCAATGGCTTGCCCAGAGCAGTGCTTTCACCTCCCCTGGGGGCAGGGGAGTGGGGTGCATCTCACTATAGAGACTCTGGGACTGACAGAGCAGTGATTTTATTTTACTCAACTTGGGATCCCCAGAGCCTGGTACATAAGAGGCATTTAAAAATGCTGGAGTGAATAAATAAGTATTCAAGCCCACACTGAGGAGCAGAACCATGGCATGGAATTCAGACACCATTCCCACAGGGGATTGTCAGAGTCAACATTCTTGGCACTTAGCCTTTTGTCCAGATTTGAGAAGGTCTCAGAGAGAGAATACCTGCTTCTTCTCCTTTAGGCTCGTTGAAACTTGTTCAGTCTACCAGTGTCTATTTCCTGCTGAAAGCTGCTTTACCAGAGTCTGGGGACAGCGTCATATGTAATCCTCAGTACTGTTAATGGGATTCCTGTGTTCACACCATTTGCTGCACTTATAGTGACTATTTATGTTTTTGAACCACAATTTTCAATCTTGCGTCACAATGCACTGGCCTGTCACAATTTACCCTGAGGGGTGTTCAAGGCAGTACTCTTACTAATATTAAAATTTCAAAATTTATTTTATAAGAAGGATTCAAGGTTATTACTGTATTTGTGGTAATAACTCAATCACCTACTTATAAGATTGGAGAAAAAGAGATGAAGTCATCGGGAGGGAAATGTGTATGTGAGTTCTCTGGTTTATATTATTGCTATGATGTTTGGGAAACATACACCTCAAGCACAAATTTTCATATCCTAGATAATGTTTGGCTCATAGTTTTAAAATTAGCAAGGCTATTTCTGTGGCTTTGTGAAAAAGTGGTGGACCTGAGCTCTTGATCATAGCCTTCCTATGCCACTGAGTAAATTGTATGGCCTTGGGCAAGTCATTCACTTTTTCTTTTCACCCAGTGACAGTTTCCTCATCTGAAAAATGAAGCAATTCACTGACAATTTCCTCATTTGAAAAGTGAAGCAATTGGATTCACTTAATCATCTCTAGGGCTACTGCTTGCTCCCAGAAGTTCTATGACTTTATATTTTTTTACACAATTTTAGGACAGCAAGGTGACAATAAGGTTATGATCCTCTCATAAAAATATCCCAGGAGTAGCAGAATATCCTTTTAGTTGAACTTGCACCAAGTTATTTATTACTTGGAGGAGTTCTTCTTTGTGTTTAGAAGTGTGTGTTAGGAAATTTGCCATGGAGACCTGTTGCAGAATGCATGACTAGCTAAGGCACTTTGCGAGGGCAGAATAGCTCTGGTTGTTTCCTGTGGGTATGGCTTAACACTTGGAAAATAAACTCACTGTTTCAGTAATTTGGATACTGTACAAAACGTTACTCAACGTCCTCACTTTCATATAATTAGTCATAATCTCTCAAACCTTCACAGTGTGTATATCCTGTACATGAGCAGGTTGTCAAACTTTTTATATAGAATTGAGTTACCTGAAGGGCTTTAAAGTGTTTTTAAAGAATCTCCTTTTGGAATGATCATCTCAGATTCTTCCTAACGTGTATTTTTTCACTACTACAAACAACTTTCTTCTTTTACTAATACCATTTGAAAGTGTTTTTTTTTTTTTTTTTAAACATATTCTCTTGTATCTACTCTGTATTCCCTAGCAGGTCAGGTCAGTCATCAGTGGCTACATGTTTGTATTTACTGATGATAGAGTTATGTTATCTTTTGATTTCTGAATTGCAATGTTGGCTTAGTTTGTGTTGTGTGCCTTTCTAGAGATGTTTAATTTATATATGTACAAGTGAACTTTGTTCAAAACAAAAACAATATATGAATATCTTTAATTATAGATCCTTTATTTTTCCAAGCTAGTGAACCATGGGTTCTCTTTAAATATAAGTGAGGAGAAAATGTTCTACCAGGCATAGGGAAAGCTGGGTTCCAGATCTGTTAATAAGTCACAGGAGTGACCTTGAATGAGTCACATGCTTAACTTTTCAGGACCTTCTTCATCTGTAAAACAAGTCAAAAACTCTTACTGCCAGAAGTGTTTTTTGTTGTTGTTCTCTATTCAATTTGATTTTTGTACATTTTTGGGTCCCCTCTATTGTGTTAAGTAAAGTTAGGTATCTAAATTGTAGAATCTCTCACCTACCCAGGAGACTCCTCCAGTTGTCCAGTCCACCTGGAACATTTCCACTGAATGGGGAACTCATGCTTCACAAGGCAAAAGTGTACTGGATATGACCTGAGCAATACTTAAGACTTGAGGCCAGGCATGGTGGTGCCTGTAATCCCAGCACTTTGGGAGGCCAAAGTGGGTGGATCTCTTGAGTCAGGAGTTCAAGACCAGCCTGGCCAACATGGTGAAACCCTGACTCTACTAAAAAGACAAAAAAAGTAGCCGGTCATGGTGGTGTACACCTGTAGTTCCAGCTACTCAAGAGGCCAAGGCAGGAGAATCTCTTGCACCTGGGAGATGGAGGTTGCCATGAACCGAGATTATGCCACTGCACTCCAGCCTGGGCAAC